AAGATATTACTCTCCAGACTTGGAGAAAAGGCAATTGCCCAGTGGCAACTAGGACTGTAAATATCTGTTAAACAGCTCGCCCCCAGCCTTATGATTTCAGCTCCCTACCCGCCACTAGACCCTCACTGTTCATCTCTTGTACCATGTGAGGAGTCTGTGGAGGAAAGTGGGCCATTTCTCAGCATTGCCTATGGCTAAGCTGGGCTTTTTAGCTTTCCTCAATCAGCCAAATTAACAAAGCTCTTTGTTTTTCAGTCCCCCCAAATTCCTGTTATTGTAGATTTATAGCCTTCAACAAAATTAACTCTCTTAAGTGTGAAGCATAATAAGCATACAGAATGCACAAAACAAATGTATAACTCAGTAATCAATTTTTTTTAACTCACTAATTTATTAAAAAGCAAATGCCCAATAACAACTACTGCTCAGGTCACCAATTACTCAGGACCTTGCCAGTCCTCTGAAAGTCTCCCTCCTCCAAAGGAAACCATTCTCTAGACTTTTATGGAAGTGATTTTGGGGGCTGTTTTTTAGTTCTGCTATGTAAATATGTATCCATAAGTTCTACAGTTTTCACTGTTTTTTAACTTTATGTACTGTATATACTTGAGTATAAGCCGAGTTCTTCAGCACATTTTTAATGCAGTTTTTGTGGTAAAATTAGGTGCCTCGGCTGCTTTTTGGGTTGGCTTATACTCGAGTATATACGGTAATTGGAATGATGAAGTGTGAATTTTTACACTAGATTAAAAAAATTTTTTTTTGGCCTACCATTATAAGGTTCATCCAAATGTTGCCTATTGCTGTAGCTCATTCATTTCTCTCTATTGTATACTATTCCACTACATAGATATACCACAGTTTATGTATCTCTTTACTGTCAATGGACATTATAAATTAGGCTGCTACGCCTATCCTTCTCTCTCTCTCTCTCTCTCTCTCTCTCTCTCTCTCTCTCGGTAGGACCCATGCATCTACTTCTGTTAAGTACGTTCCTAAAGTTAGAATGCTGAGGTATACAGGGTACATGTATGCTCAACTCTGAGTCACAGCTTGGCATTATCATGCACACTCATTGTCTGTGTACTTCTTCTAACCATCAAAGCCTCATGCTATCACATTCTTTTATCCTCAAAATTTGGCACCACATATCCTACTGTTAACTATTATTGTTTTCACAACCATGCATTTTCAATCCAATACATTAGTATTATTTAATAATTATTATTGTTTAATAAAGTCTACATTTATTTAATTTGCCAACACATCTTCTACTATTTTTACTCTTTATTCCTTCCTGGATAGCCCAGCTTCTTCTTCCGTCTGGCATTTTCTTTCTGCCCAAATAATATCTTTCCAAATTTCATTTAATGAGGTCTCCGGCAATTCTTTCTCCTAGGAATGTTTTTTTAAAGGGGAGAGGGTATCTGAAATCTGATTTCACCTTCACTCTTGAAGGGTATCTTTGTCTGGGTGTAGAATGCTACGTGAGGAGATATTTTCATCCAGGAGTTTGAATACAGGTGTGCCCTGTTTTCAGAAAGTCCATTTTATGTCACTTGTTTTTGCCAACTCAGAAGAGGATCTGCTTTCATGGAGAAAAAGCGCCGAGTGAAACCAGCCTTCAGGGTTTGTTTCACTGTGAGTCACTGAAGAGGCAGCGGTGCTCCAGGCAGTGAGAGTCCCGACCAAGCTCCTTCCAGGAAGCTCTTCTGTCCCTACTGTGTTTCTACCTAGTGGCGGCCTGCAGCTATCACATCATTCTGTTTTCACTATGTGTGAGGAATATTTTACGTCTTAAGGGCTATTTGCTATCATTTGGCAGGTTATTTTCCCATATAAATTCCAATTACTGTATATCCTCGAGTATGTACTTAGCTTTATGTCCTTTACCTACAAAAGGCTACGTAGGAATGCTTACTTTTGAAAGGAGGGAGAAGGGCCCAGTGTTCCCTGGCTTCCAGGGTTTTCCAATAAGAATAGACTGTCAGTGTTGTTTGGAAGGTAATCTCTTTATTTTTCCTGGATACTTAAAATTTTTTTTCTCTGCTGTTTGGCCTGGAGCAGTTGTATGAGATGTTCTAAGATGCTCTTTGTTCTGCAGTATGCTTCCCTGGGTTTACAGGGCTTCCCCAATCTGCGACTAATGTCTTCCTGTCTTAGCGATTTTCATTCCCTCATCTCTTCACATGTTGCTGTCAGCCTACTTCCTCTTCTGTGGAAATCTAAGCAAGCACTGCGCCTATTCGATATGGCCTCTGTGTCCATTATACTCTTCAAAACAAGTTCCTTTTCCACTTCATGCTTCATTCTAGAGCAGTGGTTCTACCCTGTGGGTCGGGCCTCTTGGGGGTCACACGACCCTTTCACAGGGGTCACCCGATTCATAACAGTAGCAAAATGACAGTGATGAAGTAGCAACGAGAATAACTGTATGGTCAGGGGTCACCACCACACAAGGACCTGCATGAAAGGTCCCGGCACTTGGAAGGTTGAGACCCTGCTCAACATAGTTCCTTCGGATCCATTCCCAAGTTCACCTATTCGAGTTCTAACTTGAATCTGTTGTTGAATTACTGCTGCGTTCTTAGATTTTTCTTTACTTACCACTTCTAAATTATGTTTTGGTGTTTTAACATATCTGAAACATTCCCTTTTATTGTTCACAGTTCTCTGCAAAACTACTTAATCTAATCATTTATTTCCTCCAGCATAGTAAGCAGTTCTGTAAAAACTGTGTTATCACATAGCTATTTTAAAGTTTGATCTAATCATGCCAACGTCTGGCGAACCTGATGGGCCTGGTTTTATTTTTGGCTCTTTCTGCACGTGTGCTATCTCCTCACATGTGCAGTTATTCTTGGTTGCGCGAAAGATGCTATCTCTGAATGACCATTTGTAGAAATAACTTATGATCCTTCAGGAATTTACCTTGCTCTAGAGAAGTTTGCTTCTTCCAGGGGCCTGGAGTCCTCTTATTAATAGGGCTGATCAATCTCTTAGGCCCTCTTTCAAATTTCATGATTGTCCTTGGTAGAGAAATGTTCCCAAATGTTGGTATTACCTATCTGAATTCCTGCCTTCTTCTGGGTCCTCACCTGGTATTCTTCACAATCTTATTAGTACCCTCATGTCATCAAGCATAGTTCTTTTGTTTGGTTGTTTGTTTAACTTTCCTGGCTGTCTTAAGAGTCAGAGTTAATCAAAATGATCTATCTATAGACTGTCATTACTGAAGTGGAAATCCTACGTTCATATCAAAAAACTCAATTTTATTGTAGATTTAGTGTGCTTTCTAGAATGGAACTAGAATTGTATTCAATTCAACATCTAACTTGAAATACTCTATTTATTTCCTTTCAGGAAATAAATGCCCATATCAGTGTATATCCACATACTACTTAAAAATTGAAATTGGAGAATTCTATTCACTTAATAGACTGTATAAGAAACTTTCCTATCAGCTCCTATGGTCTGACTTCATTGTTTCCTTTCAAAAATTAGACTCTATATATTAGGTTAAATCCAACTAAACATATGCCTATTATGTCTACTGCATTATGTTTGACTTTAGAACCATAATAGTGAGCAACAACTAATACTGTCTCAGGACTCTGAGAGTTTACATATGATAATCTAAACAAATGTAAAATTACAGCCTAGTAAATATTAGGGAAAGATAGATGGAAGATGAGAAAGTATTTCAGGCTTTTGGATCTGGACAGGGAAGTTAAAATGAAGAGAAGACGCTGGCAAGAAATGGAGAAAGGAGGTATGCAAGAGGAAGTAAATTTCAAGCAGCTGAGAAAGTACATATCATATTGACATCATAATTCATTCACTTAACAACCCACCAAGGGACCCTTTCACAATTACAGACAACACTTTATCAAATATTCCAATGTTGGGCATATTTTTATAAGCATATCTATCTGGTAATCAAGATTTATTTCTTAATATATGCAAGAGACTTGACACTCATTTTACTTTCCAGTGAGAGTTGACTAAATTTTACTCAGCTGATTTCTTACATGTTTCGTCTTCCCTAACGTTCTTTATGTCATCTTAATATTCATTTGGTGCATGATTTCCTCAGGAGTAGCTGTAGTTGCCTGTGGTGACTTACTACTCTATAAATAAAGGTAGTCAGGAGCTATGTGCTTCATGGGAACAGTTCTACTAAAGTGTAAGTAAGACTCACCACCTAGTCACTTTGGTGTCTTCTATTTCACAGACAAGGGGGTAAAGAAAGTCCCAATAAGGCCAGGATAATTGACGCTGATTATTATTAGGAGCTTTCTATACGCCATATAAAGAAGGCCGGGAGTAATCCTTAAGGTGTCTGGGAAGTTTACGGGGCACGCCTGCATTCCCAGGGCAAGCTCAGCTCTCCCTCCCATGCAGTTGGCTGGTCCTAACAGCCGACAGCCTGAAGAACATGCAAGAGGTTTGTGCTCAAGTGCTACCTCATCCCCAAGTCTCTGTATTCTTCGACAGATAGGGCCTACCTCTGAAATCAAACCTCCCACAACGCTCTCAGGAAAAAAAAAGGAGTTTTTTCAAAAGCAAAGAATGGGAACAAATCTAATTTATAATAGCAGGGGATTACTTAAGTAATGATCGACAGGACTACTATGTAACCATTCAAAATTAATATACAACCCCCCCTAGCAGTAAATGCCAACGATACTGTTATATAAAAAGAGTGGAGATGGTACAGTATATCATGGGCTACTTTGTGTCAAAAAGATCAAGATCTCTGTATATCCAAAGAAAAGAGATAGCTAACAGGGCATACATCAAATGTTAACAATGTATACCTATCAGATCATGGCATGACAGGTGGAGATGGCTTTTCTTCCCCTTGTTTATTTTTCTGTATTCTTCAAATGTTATTTTCTCACAATGAGTTTAGCTTGTTGTTTATAAGACAAAGTTCTTCAAAATATAAACCCAACCCCAAACTTCTTATAGTTCAAATGAGGAAAAGTCAAATTTACCTTCTGATGATTCATCATCAGAAATTAGTTCGTCATCAGAGCAAATGTTGAGAATGTTAACCAGCATCTCTGTGACTAGATGAGAAGACAAAATAACCCAAATTTACACAATTGTTAAGCACTTTTCTGGATATCCAAGTAAACATATGTGTCAAAACAATTTGAGTGACAAATTGCTGTTATATTACTAAGACCAGTATCACAAGAGTAGCATGAAGTAGAGGCCTCCAGGTTTCTAACGAATAATTATTCACTTGCTTCAGTCAAAATCTGAGTCTTTTCAGATTCTACTACATGTGATTGAAGTATGGAATGACAGAATAATATGTATTAATTCCCAATTAATAATAATTTTTTTAAAAGTTTGGTAAAGCAATAAATAAATAAATATGCATGCCACTGGGGTAGACAGGCTATAAATAAATACTACTGAAGCTGAAAAAACGAGAGAGAGATTCTGCTGGTGTACGTCATCTCGCTGCGCCTCACACTGATGCACTTGGCAGGCCCTGCGTTGTTACAGGTGGCCGCTTGTGGCAGCCTTCCGTTGTGCAAGTCTATTGGTGCCATTTTTTCAATGGCATGTGCTTGTTACTTCCTGCCTTTGCATTGCATTTTGGTCACAACCACAATATTTCTAACTTTACCATAATGCTGTTACATTCTGATCACGGTATAAGACAGACATAACTTTTGTATGCACTGGGTGTCCAAAAATACTTGTGTCACCCACTTTGTCACCACATTTGCTTTACTGCAGCGATCTGGAATGGGGCCCACTCTCTGTGAGATGTGCTGTCCATAACGAACTTGAATGAACTTGAATGTTACACTGGACGGCTGCTCCCAGTGGACCGAGGAGGTGAGCGGTCCACGCCCAGCAAGGCCGCTTTCTGCTGCAGCGCTCATTTGTGTTGTTTCACAAATAAAATTGTAAGGACAGTATTTCCTGCTCAATCTCTCTAGCACCGAAGAAATCCACCGAGGGGATAACAGAGCGACTACATTATGTTAACATATTGATCAAAGTAGGACAGCAACTTTAAATTGATATTTAGAATAAGAATGGCATCATCTACTATAACTATAATTTAGCAGTCAATTAAGTGCCATTTCAAAACCTCTGTGGAGGAAAGCCAAGAGGGGGGCACACTCCTGCTGGGTTCTGTCAGGACAAGTGGTGACCCACAGGCTTTGTTCTCTTACCTTTCTCGCCAACAAACGGCAAAGACCACGTGAAAACATCCATAAAGTTTGGAAGCCAGTAAGGGTGTGGAGAGCAGTTAAACTGCCTGATATTCATGACATTGTTTTCATATTTCAGCACAGCAGCTACGAAGGAAAAGGCAAGAGACTGGGCACAGAGGAACATGACATGGCAATTGATACACACGTGCTACACAGAATGAAGGAACTTTCCATTTGTAAAGCTGGGACGAAGTATGTAAGTGCAGATGGAAAGCAATTTAAGCATTTTATCATAGTTGATTCTCTTAAAAATTAGCCCAAGGAACAGAGTCACGGATGAGTTCATATAATAAAAATACAAAGCAAACCAAGCTCTGAGACTTCAAAGGGTTACTGCACATCAACCTCAGATTTGACAAGCAAAAACCGTCCTTTTATAGGACAAGCGGTTACAATCACTATTCTCCTTTGAGGGCAAGTACCACTCATTATATAAGCGCAGACCCGAAGAGTTCATTTCCTGGGAGTTTATAACATACACCAATTCATTTAAGGTGATATACATGGTCAACTTAAAACCAATGCTCAAAAGTCTGTTAAATCATCTCTACATGCAATAGAAGGAATTGAGGAAAACATGCCGCTGTGTCCTGTACACAATCAGTATATGGATAGCAAAAGGTCAGCAGTCTAAATCTGCTAGGTGTTCCGAGGGAGAAAGATGAGCCTGGATGTGCCCCTCAGATTCATAGCCTCAGGAATGGTAGGGAGCAGCGCTATGCCGTCCCACACTCACTGGGCCTTGGCATCGACTGGCAATGGTTACAGGTATTTTCCTATACAAGTTTACTACTAATTAGTGCACAATGTCGTAAACATATTTTGGTGCCAAATGGATTTTCTTTATATTTTAGAAGTTATAAAATCAAAACTCTTAATACTAGTGTTCATCACTAGTACCATTGTTTTTACTATTATTGTAAGAATTCTTACTGTGGCCATAAAGTAGAATCGGGCATCACAGTTCTCCAGAAATGATAGACATAGATCACTCACTGGTTCCTAGAACAATATTTCAGTCTAAAGCCCCAAAAGCCAACCCCCCCGCCATGGCTGGGTCTGGTTGGGTTGGGGTTCAAAGGCATAGTCTTTAGAGGAGCAAACTGCCATGTCTCTCTTCCATGGAGCAGCTGGTGGGTTCAGACTGCCAACCTTTTGGTTCATTGCAGAGGGCTTTAACTGTTGGGCTACTTCAGTTACTGAATGCCTAAAATGCACACCATAAATTACACAGCAAATACATGAAAATAGAATCTACAGCTCTCAAAAGACCTAACACTGGCAATAACATACACTTCCCATTGTTTTCAAAGTCATGTATTTTCTTTAGGTTAGTGACTATACAATCGTTTAACAATTCCCTCAATCTACACAGGAAAAAGGCGGGAGGCAGGTCTCAATAATACATCATCATAAACAAGATCTTTAAACTTTAAACTTGCTTTAGAATATGCTCCTGGTAGCCAGAAATTAATAGAAAAACCTTTTAGAATCATGATGGGCTCATCTGGGTACTTTAGAGAAACAAATCCACAGAAACTCATGTGTAAGAGAGAGTTTTATATAAAGGTTAAGTGTGCATCAAGAAAACATCCCAACCCAGTGCTGCCCAAGCCCACAAGTCCAACATTAACCCATATGTCCGTCACCAATCCACAAAGTCCTCCTCCATCTCACAAAACACACACTATGACGCCAACTGCAGGAGGAAAGCCGAATCGGTGAGCGTGTAGGCATCTCAGTGCTGGCAGGGGTCTCCACATGTCTGCTCCAGCACCCAGGGCTGCATCAGGGTAGGACCATGCAGCTTCGCCCTGGGGATGTCTTACAGGAAATGAGCCTTGCCAGCTGAAGCAGGGAGCTGGCTAAGGCAGCTGCACCCTGGTCTGACCATCAGAAAGCAAGAGACCTGAGAACTTGAAAGGCGAGTCTCACCGAGCCACTTATCCCTCCTCCCTTCAATTAACCCCACATGTGTTTATCAGCCAGGTTGGCACAATAAACTACCTCACATGACTTCAGGATCGTTCATGAAACCACTGCAAACGAGAAGTACCCGTGGGCCACAGTAGGTCTACAGGCTATGCCAAGGAGGAGAGAGAGAGAAAGCAGAAGGAATGCAAGGAGAGGGCGGAGAGGATTCCCTTTGTAAGAAAAGATGCAGGTACATGAGCTGCAAGCGAGGATCTCCAGGGCTTTGTAAAGGATCTTTGTAAGAAAAGATGCAGCTACATGAGCTGCAAGCAAGGATCTCCAGGGGCTGATTTTGATGCCACAATTTCTGCCTCGTTCTTAGGAAAATACTTAAGAAATAGTCAAGAACAATTCTTTAAAAAATTTCCCAAGAAGATAACATTGTCAATTATGTCACAGCTTCCTGAAAATCCAGGTAAATGGATTGTGACTTAAAATGCTTATCAAGGAGAAAGCGAGGCGAGAAGGGGGACGGGGCAGCAGCGAGTACAGCGACCGCTGATTTCGGTGGCATGCTTCAGCTCAGCAAACGGATCAGTCTCCTGGGTGGCCAATAGATCCTCTGCATAGCGAGGTTCCTAAAGAGAGGGAGGGACGAAGGAAAGGCTTGATCACAAATATGAGAGTTAAGGCCAGTAAGTGTCCTTGAAGAGAAATTGAATAATACAAGCAGGGCATCCTTTTGAGAAGAAGGAGCAAGAATAACAATTTGCTATTTGTATGGTGAAAACATTCGAAAAGGGAAACAAGGAAAAATAGAGTTAGGGAGAAGCAAAGCGTAATAGGAGAGGTGAGACTTGGAGAAGAAACAAGAAAACGCAGATTGGGAGAGAACTTGGACAAAGAATGCTTTTTAGAAAATAGACTAGGGCTCACTGGAGGCTGCAATGCAGCGGTTCTCAACCTATGGGTCGCGACCCCTTGGGGGGTGTCAAATGACCCTTTCACAGGGGTCACCTAAGACCATCAGAAAGCATAAATATTTCACAATACATAACTACATATTATTTTGTGATGAATCACTATGCTTTCATTATGTTCAATTTGTAACAATGAAAATACATCCTGCCTATCAGTTATTTACATTATGATTCATAACAGTAGCAAAATTAGTTATGAAGTAGCAACAAAAATAATTTTATGGTTGGGGGGGGTCACCTCAACATGAGGAACTGTATTAAAGGGTCGCGGCATTACAAAGGTTTAGAACCACTGCTGTAATGAACAGATTGACCCATATCAGATTTAAATGAGATATATCATTCCAAGGTTCGCTTTTTTAAAGGCTATTAAGTACAATCCAAGCTAAAAGGGAAACTACTGGGTTTTATAATTCTTTTAAAAGGAAATACATAAAGATCTAAGGACGAATCATCCTTTTTTGGTTTAATCTCTTTACATCTTAGCCACAGACACTCTGATGGAATTGGCATGGAATAAGCCTGGGGACTGGGAATTTTTTTTTTTTTTAAAGCACTAACTCCCCATGCTGCCCTCCCTCCAGCCTCGGGTCACCACTAATCTCCTTTTGTTTTTCTGCATTTGCTGATTCTACTAGTCAGTTCATAGGTGTGACTATACAGTATTTGTCTTCTTGTGCCTGGCTCTACACTTAGCATCGTGTTTTCAAAGAAGTTCATCCATGGAGTTGCTTGTATCACAACTTCATTTCTAAATGCTTTATTTACTATGCTATTAATTAATATTGAAAAGGAAATAAAGTTTTAAATGTCTTGAAGCTAAATATTAATTGATCAAAAGTATATATGCATTCCAAATAATTAGGGAAAATTAAACTTATTTCAATACAATACTAATTAATATTGAGTTCCTTCTCTCAATTCCAGAGTGCAAGCCTGAAAAACAGGTAAAGAAATGTTTTTTCCTGACTTAATGTTAATAGAATCATTTAAATACAGGAGCACATAAAAATTCATCCAACTTTAATAATGATACAAGGGTAAGTAAAAATATATTGCTACAAATATCCTAAAAGCTTTTATTAAACAAATACATCAAACTGTGAAGCCACTGTGTGTGTGTGTGTGTGTGTGTGTGTGTGTGTGTGTGTGTGTGTTTCTTGGCATGCCCTCCATCCAGGCCTATATATGTCTGAAGGCGGTGTTTCTGTATTCGCACCATTCCCTGAAGATTTCATCTACCCTACATCCAAACAGCAAGTTTGGCCCCCTCGAAGGATTCAAAGGAAATTCCTTTTAAATGTTGGACAAGCTCTAGGAACAAAATGAAGTGTGAAGGGGAAAATCAGGATTGTAAGGTGGGTGGGTGTGGTAGTTACATAATCTGTTGTCAATTTGAGACTATTAAAAGCGAAGGGGGTGGTGTTTAGCCTGTCAATCAGGTTGCAGCTTGATGACCTCATCTGGAGGCGTTTAGGAGATAAACAGCTCTCTGAAGGCGGGTCACACTCACTCCCTGCAAGACATTCCTGATGACAAGACACACGAAGCTATGCTAGTCTGGAACTAGAGCAGGGATCCTCAAACTTTTTAAACAGCGGGCTAGTTCACTGTCCCTCAGACCTGTTGGAGGGCAAGACTTAGTTTAAAAAAAAAACTATGAACAAATTCCTATGTACACTTCACATATCTTATTTTGAAATTAAAAAACAAAACGGGGCAAAAACACCCGGCGGGCCAGATAAATGTCCTCGGAGGGCCACATGTGGCCCGGGGGCCGCAGTTTGAGGACGCCTGAACTAGAGGATCCATGTGGAGACCCACGCCAGTGCTGAGATGCCTCCACTGCCACTGAATCCACAAGACTTTTCACCCACTGGCCTGTGATCTTCCTGCATTCGGCATCATCGCATGTGTTGGGTTAGTCTGAAGAGGAATTTATTGATTGGTATTGGACATATGGGGTAATATTGGACTTATGAACTTGATCTGGACTGGGCTGGGATGTTTTCTTAATGGACAATTACTCTTTGATATAAAGTTCTCTCTTACATACGAGTGTCTCCTTGGATGTTTCTCTAGTCTACCCAGCCTAACACGGTGGGGTAAGGTTCTCGAAGGAAATTCTCATAGGGCAGAACAAGCAGATGCATTGCACCCACCCTCACACTCACTGCCAAGTTGACTATGACCCACAGGGACCCTGAGGGGAGATACTAGTGATGCAGTGGTGGGAGACACAGTTCCTCAGCATGAGTCGCCTGGCCCTTCTTTTAACTTCTTCTGAACAAGCGCCCATGACTGTCCTGTGTCCTTTGGGAAAATCAATCAAGATTTGGAATCCCCTAGAAAAACCATTCCCATAACTTTCTGGCATGTGCTCTCTGATTTGAATGTAACTTGCCCAATAGACACTGCCTTGCTTGGATCGTTTTTGGAAGGCAATCTAAGGAGAGTAAAGACAAGTGTACTACTGAGAAAACCTTGGGGCAGCCACCCGCCAACGACAAAGACATGTTTAACACGTAATGCTCAGTCACAGGGATGATCGAACTGGAGCTTAGTTGTAATACTTTTTGACTGACCCTGGGATTTCAAAACATGTACTCTTGTAGTCATTATTTTTCTCTTCCAAATGACTCATAGATATTTTTGCCAATTAACTAATACCTTACTTGGTCAGTTGGATTATGTTCTTAAACATTATTTTTAAATAACTAAGTGGTATATTTCGGAGTCGCCTTATTTGAAGACATTGCTCTCTAATTTTTACATAACTGACAGCTTTGCTGGATAGAAAATTCTTGGCTCATTAAAAACAAAAAGAAACAAACAACAAAAAACACACATTCTTTATGGCTGAGTAATATTCTATTGTGCAGGTACACCACATTGTGCCTATTCACTGGTTGATAAGCCTTACTTGGGTTATTCCAACTTGGGGCTAATAGGAATCAGAGTGCACTTTAAAAAATGGTCAATATTAAGTATATTGTGGACTTCTCTTAAACTTCTCTCCCCAACTGCACATTCAAGATGTGACTATAAAGTAATGAGACTTAAGAAACCCCACCAACAAACACGCCAGAACTTATATACCATATGAGCTTGGACCTTTGATGTCCTCACATCATGTAACAGCAAAGTGGCACACTATGGTAGCCGTGTATGGTTTGATAAGTTCTCTACCAGTCATTTCCATTTATCCTCAACCGCCCCAAGTGTCAGGAATTTGGAAGATGACGTGAGATGAGCTGGGTCAGGAATCGGAAAGATGAACGGAGACAAGCTGAGGCTCAGAGAAGTTAAGCCGCTTGTTAGAAGGCACCCATTTAAAAGTGGAGCAGGGCAATATTAGAAACCCTGACTCCTAGCTTACTGCTCTTTTCAACACACCTCGCTGCCTTGCTGTACGTGTGATCCAATCACGCTGCCATTCCTGAATACGGTTTTGGAACCCCTCTTTTGGAATTGCCTCCAGAGTCAGCTTGCAAGCAACACAAGAAAGACCAGTCTCATTACCTTATAATCATACCTTGTTTCTGACCCCAAATGGTATCGTCTAGCTCGATAACTCACCTGATTCATCAGTCTTGACGCCGAATGACTTTTGGCTGTTCCAAAAATCAAATCCACCCTCAAAGGACGAAGATTTGCCATCATTGAGGATAATCAAAAGAATGTGTCGCAGACTCTGAAGGCAATGCCAAAAGAGGAGTTCCAAAATGTTTTGAGCAATGGCAGCATTGTTTTGAGCAATGAGCATACAGCCTCCCCAGTAGCCACTTTGAAAGGGGTAATACTCACATGGATATATACGTTCTGGCATGTTTGTTAAAAAATCTTATTATCTTATAGTCATAACCTATAACAAAATATTTGTAGATGCAAGAAGTTTTTAGCAGCGACACTGCTATGACACAAAGCTATGAATCACACAAAAAGAACCCCAAAACAAACTTTAAAATTAAAGACTTTAATAGGACAGCCTCATACATAGACCTCTGATCAAAGGACATGTACCTAATCAATCTTCCTTTTTTAAATATTGGGGAAACAGATTTAGAAAGATGAAATGACATAGCCGGAGTCACACTCCTTGTTTCTGGCACAGCTTGAACTAAAATGAGGACCTTTTCTGACTTTTCGTATAATATTCAATCTACCTATTCCACTCCTGAAAAAACAGGCAGTGATAGCTTAATAATTCACAGACATCACCACAAGGCCAAATGACAATTGCGTAAGGTCAAATAAACAAATAAACCCAAGCTAGTGATTGAAGCTGACTGATCTACCTTAAACCTGCAGTGATAAATAAATAAATATATATATATATATATATATATATATATATACACATACATACTCCTTATACTTTGATTCAGCAGTATACATTAAGCCAATAGTGATAACTATTCTCAGACAGAGCCCAATAATCCTTAGGAGATCAAGACCAAGTAGCAACCTAATTTCAAAATTTCCTGGCCTTCATGTTAATTGAAATCTCTTATATTCTTTTTAAAATGTACATGGAAAAATAACAGACACACACACACACACACACACACAAACATGTGATTAGACTACAGTTCACATCTATAAGTTCAAACTGGTACATCGATGGCCTCCTTTACCTTTATTATTATAGACGTCCAGGTAGTTTGGGGCAGAGAAAATTGTAATGAGTGATGGAAAGCCCGTTGTTTGGGTCTTCCTGTACATTCGATACCTGGAAGAGAGACAACAGCTTGCCTATCTTGATAGGAAAGTGAAAACTACAATGAAATGTGGGATGGTTTTAATGTAACTTACCCAGCATCTTGTGCTTCATGGGCTCTGATTATTGATAACAAATTATTGTTCTGCAAAAATTCACAAACTGCAGGGTAACTGAAAGGATATTAGAAAACATAAATCTAGGATTAGAACAATCATTTCCTAAAAGTTAAAATGGCATGAGTTGAAATTGATTCAAGATGAAAGGTTTAACACACCACTGAATTTTTATTAATAGCTTAGTAATATCATTCTGTTTTCCATTTTGCTAACACACTGTCTTCCAGATCAAGCATGCCAATAAAAGTTAACCTAAGAAGAGGGGGAGGCGGGGGTAAGGAGGTGCTGACCAACCCAGGGACAGGGGAGCAACGAGTGATCCAAAAACAGTGGCAAGGAGGGTGCGAGAGGCCTGGTAGGGATTCAGCAAGGGCAATGTAACCGAGAGAAAT